CAGGGAAAACCGTTCATGAAAACGGAATTTGCTACGTCACCGAAGGCTCGAATCTATTGGGATTGGAATGGTGTATCCAATTGCCGGCGTACAAGAAGCTGAAGGACAACTACAACTGCAGAAAGGTGACTAGCGAGGAGAAATTTCGAGCCGAAGTCGTCGCCGAATTGAAGAGGAAATATGCGGAAGTCTTCAATAGCGACTTGGGAAAGTGCATGAAGAGCAAGGCCAAGTTAATCTTGAAGAGCGATGCTGTGCCAGTCTTCAAGAAGAAGAGGCCAGTTCCGTACGCCACGGCACCGGAACTGGAAGCAGAAATTGATCGGCTGGTAGCCGAAGGAGTTATTTCTGCTGTAGAACACTCAGAGTGGGCCGCGCCAATAGTCGCCGTCAAGAAGAAAAATGGCAGGATCCGTCTATGCGCCGACTTCTCGACAGGACTTAACGATGCATTGCAGCTGCATCAGCATCCATTGCCCACAGCGGAGGATGTGTTCACCAAGCTCAATGGAGGCCAGCTCTTCACTCAACTCGACCTAGCCGAAGCGTATTTACAAGTGGAAGTCGAGGAAACGTCAAAGGAGATGCTGACTATCAACACACATAAGGGATTATATCGCTATAATCGTTTGCCATTCGGAGTGAAATCGGCACCCGGTATATTCCAGCAGATCATGGATTCCATGATAAGCGGACTTGATGGAGTAGCCGCTTATCTTGATGACATCATCATCACAGGGAGGAGTTACGAAGAACACCATCAGAAAGCAACAAGAGAACAGCTGCATCAGCAGAATTTGGAAGCCTTGTTTAAGAGAATCAAGGACTACGGATTCCACGTCAGGTTGGAAAAATGCAACTTTCTCATGCCAGAGATTTGTTACCTAGGGTGCATCATCGACAAAAGAGGACGCCGGCCGGATCCAAAGAAGATTGAAGTCATCCAGCAAATGCCAGCGCCGAAGAACATAGCGGATGTTCGGTCATTCCTCGGCATGATCAATTATTATGGATTATTCGTGGCCGAGATGCGCCAGCTTAGAGCACCCCTGGACGCATTGCTCAAGAAGGACGCAAAGTTCGAATGGACAGAGAAATGCCAAAACGCATTCAAGCGTGCCAAAGAAGTCTTAGCCTCCGATCTACTCCTTACACATTTCGATCCTGACTTACAGATAGTGGTAGCTGCGGATGCGTCAGACTACGGAATCGGGGCTGTAATTCTGCACAAGATGCCAGATGGGACAGAAAAGGCTATCTGCCATGCAAGCCGAAGCCTCACAGCCGCAGAAAAGAACTACGGACAAATTGAGAAGGAAGGACTAGCATTGGTTTTCGCGGTCCGTAAGTTCCATCGGTACATATACGGACGCCGATTCAGATTGCTCACCGACCACAAGCCGCTGCTACACATTTTTGGACCCAAGAAGATGGTACCGGTGTACACAGCGAACAGGCTGCAACGATGGAAACTCATTCTACTCGCATACGACTTCGACTTGGAGTATCGCAAGACGACCGAATTCGGACAAGCTGATGCACTGTCTCGACTGATCCCTCCAAGGCCATTCCAAACCGAAGACGGTGTTATAGCGAAGATAGAAGAAGAGGTGCGAGCTGTTCAAGCTGCTGCTGTACGAGCGTTACCAGTAACCCGGAGGAAGATTGAAGAAGAATCTCGTAAGGACGAAACCATTGCGCAGGTCATACGAATGCTGCAATCAGGAGCATGGCCGTCCAAGCCGAAAGGAGAAGTCCGAAATTGGAGAGCACTGAGGGAGAATTTATCAGTGCAAAACGGATGTTTGTACTTCGCCCACAGAATAGTCATTCCAGCTTCGCTGAGACAGGCGGTTCTGAAGCAGTTACACGAGGGACACCCTGGAATGACAAGGATGAAGATGCTCGCAAGAGGATTCGCATACTGGATGGGCATCAACAGAGAAATTGAAGACTCAGTGCGCCGCTGTAGGGATTGTCAAGAAGCCTCCAAAATGCCAGTGAAGACGTTGCTGCATTCATGGAAAGTGGAAGACAAACCATGGAATCGACTTCACATTGACTATGCAGGACCGCTGAATGGCAAGATGTATCTCGTCGTAGATGACGCTTACTCGAAATGGCCAGAAGTATTTGAGATGCCTTCATCGTCAACTACAGCTACCCTGAGAGAACTCAGATCTCTATTCGCTCGATTTGGAAATCCGCAAGTGATCGTGTCGGATAATGGGACGCAGTTCACAGCAAAGGAGTTCCAAGATTTCTGTGAAGAGCGAGGAATCAAGCATATGCGTTCACCCCCATTCCATCCACAATCAAATGGACAAGCGGAAAGGTTTGTGGATATCTTCAAAAGGACCTTCCAGAAAATTAAGGAGGGAGGAACGGCAGAGAAGCTTGCGGAGTTTCTACAGTCTTATCGACGAACGCCTTGTACAACTGCTCCGGGACAACGATCGCCTGCCGAGCTGCTCCTGGGACGTCAGATAAGAACACCGCTGTCGCTGCTGAATGAAGACTCCAAAGAAGAAGGAATGGACAATGAAAACATGGAGAAGCAGTTTAACCGCCACCATGGAGCACGAAAGAGAGCGTACCAGCCACAAGAAGCCGTGTGGGTACGTGATTTTCGCTCTGGATGTGAAAAATGGATTCCAGCTAGAGTGAAGAAACGCTACGGAGAAGCACTATATGGCGTGCTTACTGAAGACGGCCAGTTATGGAGACGACATGCGAACCAGATGCGCCGCGCAGCAAGTATGGATCGCCACCATGACTCGACACAGTCCACTTCCGACGAAGACCGACTTAACAGTGGTTTCGATGCTGCTGAACACCAAGCCACCTCGTCTACTTCACCGACATCAACCAGACCAAGTCGCCATCGTCGCCCACCAGAACGTCTACAAGTAGATCCTTATTATAAGATGTACCGTTGTTCATCTTAGGAGGGAGGTGTTGTAGAGCCGTCCCTTATATTGGAACTTGCTCACTATTGATAGCTAATGCTGAGGCGGCCTATGTGGCTGCGGCGTACCCGCCGCACCTTGCTGTATTTACGTGTTGTTATTGCATTGATCCTAGTGAACTCGCGGCATATACGCCTATGTTATAAGGGGAATCTTTGTGTTTTTCTAATAAATTGTCAACGGCTCAACGCGTTCCACAACAAACTCCCAGCCCCCTAGCTTAAACTTTGCAAGAAAATCGATAAAATCGATAAAAGTAATCGATTATCCCGAAAACCAATATTGTATTCGGAATCCCCATGCTCGATTACCCCCCTGTGCGAACTCCCAGCCCCGTAGCTCAAACTTTGCAAAAAATCGATAAAATCGATAAAAGTAATCGATTATCCCGAAAACCAATATTGTATTCGGAATCCCCATGCTCGATTACCCCCCTGTGCGAACTCCCAGCCCCGTAGCTCAAATTTTCAAAAATCGATAAAATCGATAAAAGTAATCGATAATCCTGAAAACCAATATTGTATTCGGAATCCCCATGCTCGATTACCCCCCTGTGCCAACTCCCAGCCCCGTAGGTGAACTCAGCAAAAAATCGTTAAAAATCGATAAAATCGATATCGATCGATGACGAAAAGTAGCCTATGACACCCGCCGGGGCCCGTAGTGTATGTGTGCCAAGTTTGGTCCGGATCGGTTCAGAAATGGAATTTTCTATTCGGAACATACGTACAGACAGACAGACAGACAGACATACAGACATACAGACAGACAGACAAACAGACATTCAGCTTTATATATAAGATTGTAGTATACAACTACCTATGTGGGAACGGCACAGCACCACTTTGGTAAATGCACAGAATTTCCCGTTTTCTTGATTTCTAACAGAGAAAAAATACGGCAAAGGCGTACATAGATGTCTTATGTGGATAGTGTTTACGTGAGCAAGTTAGAATTTTTGTAGGATTTTTATGAACTGAGTTGCGATTTTTTTCTATTTTTCGGGCTGCTGAGTCTTTTTATTTTTTGCCTTGAAACTTGAGATGGATGAGAGCTGTTGCAAAAGCAAGATAGCCTTCTTGTAGAGCTTGCTTTGCTCTATCGAATGGTACTTTGCAACCTAGTTAGAAATGAGAAATGTATGACTTATTGAGGTTGAAATTAGAAATATTTCTAACATGTTTATGTCTAACAATTAGAAATATTTCTAACGTATTTCTTTCTAATATTTCTAACATCAAAATGAATATTTCACGAATTTCTTGTTTTTGCTTCACCGTGCAAGATCGAAGCCTTCCAAAGTGACTTATGGACTTCTGCAGTGTAAGTAATTTTTACAGATTTTTTTTCGGCTAGCTAGCGGCACTCTGCGATTTTCTGGCACCAAACTCAAAATTGCAAATTTTGAAGACCCATATTTGAGAGCTTCGTTCTCGGGGGCTAGCTCATGAAATCTTGCGCTTAAACATCCATCATGGAGCGCAGGCCTTCTAATATTTTTAGAGAACAAGATTGTGAATTTAGGTTTAGTCATTGAAAAGTTATTGAATTTTGTTTGAATTACGCAAGAACTTTCTAGCCAACCTAATAGTTCCATTATATCCAAACTTGTCCAGACTTTCAGGTAGGGAGTATTCTCACCAAAAATTTTTTTGAGAATTGGTTTTGAATGGTTTCTTTTATCAGATAAAAGAGAGCCTGCGACACTTTTTTGCTCAAACGTTTCTAGAAAGCGCTTGTTTTCTCTTTTAAGACTTATCAATAAAATTTTTGAAGGCGAAAGATCAGGCAATCACCACCTCTGAAGTTTTGTACGGAGGATATGTGGTCCAGAATGGAAAAGGAGCATTTGAGCACCGTCTAAGAATACACTTATACATTCGGAAAAACTTTAAAAGCACACTTGTCAACCTGTCTTTTATCTTAAATTTGATTGCTAGTTAAAGCTATTTTACACAAGTGCAGTGCATCGTTGTACGTTCAAAATTTTCAGAGAATTGTTCTAATCAAAATTCCATCAGCCCTATCCAAATGCAATACGAATACAATGTGACAGCTGTTGGACTCACGTCACGTTTTCCATATGTGTCTCCTGGCAACTGTATGGGATTAGACTGCAGAAAGCCAGGAGCTGAGGTATACTTACAATGGTAGTGAGTAATCATGTAAATGAGAGATTAAATGTCTATTTCAGTTGTACCATAATGCTTACGATTATGGAAACTTTCAAACGTATAAATACTGTTCTAGGTTGAATTTCTGATGAACTGTCTGCAATCAATCAATGCCACCATAACCGTAAACCAAGCGCTCATGGACCACAGCGATATGCTGACAATGGAATTTATTCAGCACAAGCTTCTGCCCCGTTTTGTAATAACTTACCTTTGCAGATAGCGAATGGCAGCGCTGACATTACGCTTGGCACCGTTTTCCAAAATAACCTTCGATACGAGAAGGCAGGATGATACGCAACTTCTCCGAATGTGGCATGATTTCTGCTTTTATTACAGGTGGATTTTACTGTGCCCATTGGTGCGGTGTATCTTGGCTATGTCATCAAGGAGAGCACTCAAATCGAAGTTGGAGATTATATTGCTGATGCATTTGGACCTGTAGGCAAACACAAATTTTGCTGTTGAAACTAATGAGTTTGTTTTTTCATGACACCTAAGCATACAAAAACTAACCACTTTCCTCGAGGAATACGTGTTCAGATTACATCTTGCAGCATTTGACGTTAATGACACTCAAGCTTTTCCAATATTTTACAGTAACAATGCTTGAAGCACCAATTCCAAATTTGCTCACGATACCGAATAGACTATTGATCTTGCCAGGTTGTAGGTTTCAAATTGCAAAGAATTTCCGGAGTAACTAAAGAAAGGTACTGCTTGAAGTACACAAATAGCGTTTTTTTTTTGAAGCAATACGGCTAACTTACATGATGCTTTAGAAACCTGCTAAGATCAATTTTTGTCAATCCTAAAATCTAATCAAATTATCATTACAATACATTGATCAAGTTAACATTTTGTGACCATGCCTTTCTTCCTCTTTCCAGCAGTTAGTTATAGCGTTAATTTTGTATCAGTCAAATCCTATAAACAGGTGCATCGTACAACTTTTACAGCAATTTTTGAATTTAAATTGGATGACACGTCAATAAAACATAAAGCCAACCCTTCTTAAGCAGTGCTCTTCTTGGGTTTCTCCAATCTCTTTTTGGCATCCTTGAAAATATGCTTTGAAGTGACCAAATTTGCTATTCTGCCTATTCTCTTACGGCTAATAATATGAACTTGTTAAAGCTCGTTCTGCCTCAAAATTTTTGAAGCATGGCCTCCAGCATTACCAGCAACAAGGAGAGCTTGGCACAGGTGCCTTACGGGGCAGGCTGTATATCGTTTTGGAAGTAAAAAGCAAAGGTATATCGTTTTTGCGGGGTCTAAAGTGAGGCTAATTGCTTCGTACAAATTCGGAGTTTTAAAATAAAAACCTTTTGAACACGCAATCAAAAACTGGATTTTAGATAGAATTAACCATGTGAAAACGTTTAAAAAAATTCGACGAGTCTCCCAACTTCAAGCTCATCTAACAACAAATTTTTGTAGACTTCCTATTAAAACACAACTTATTCACTATAGTCACGTGAGTCATACACGTACCAAACTTTCATCCCCGCTTACTGACAATCAACCCCTCTTTTTTTCCTCTTCTTCACCTTTTCGAAACATCGCAAGTGCGATGTTTTGAACTAAAATTTGCCTTACTAAAATTTCCTGCTAATGTGCCCAGATAGACAAGAGACTTGTTCAATGCGAAGAGGAAGTTTTATGAAACAAAAATTGATGTGTATCAGGTTGACCCATATTTACCGTTTTTACTTCGACGGTCGTCTTTTTGTATATTTCCTCCAATGGGTGCGGCTTTAATAACCATTCGATACGGCAAAGCAAGCTCTACAAGATGGCTATCAATAGTCCGCGCAAATCGTAATCCACGTACAGTTTTGAGCTGAAATATGGTAGCAGTCGAAAACGAACTTTTCTGTCAAAAATCGTATCTCCGCCCCAAAGTATTAAAGAAATTCCAAAATTATTCTGGCATTTGCTTGACACATTGCGCATTCGATTGTACAATTTTCGTATTTTTTATGGCTAGAAATAAAGAAAAAATTGAGTGGAGTAAAATGGCAAACTCCGCCCGCCCCTAGAAGTCCTGAGCTCCTCCCACACACGTGATCATATAGTTCATACATACAGAAGTACGATCATGTATTCAAAAATTTTGAAGGTGCCTCAGTTCTTGAAAAATGCTGATTTTTAACACATTGACGACCGCTCGACGCACATGGTGTGTCAAGCAATGATTACCGCGTGGGACCGCTTGACACACCATGTGTGTCAAGGCTTGAATTTTGTAAAAATGACTGTTACCCTGGTATAGACTCGCTCCATTGAGCTTTCCTTTGCACTGAATCTAGTGATGACTTCTACCTTTTTCACCAGCTTTTCAGATTTACTGTAGGTGTGCTGTAGATGGCAGCATGCGTAAATATAGTTGAAAAATGTGGGCTGGCCCCTAAAAGGCCTTGGTCCCAGAAGGCAGACAACTAAAAATCTGCATGGTCGTCAATGTGTTAAGTAAAAACGGTAAATAATTATGGGACACCCTAATAGATGCGCAATAGGGAGTTAAAACTATGTATGAGAAATTATGAAAAAGTTATGTGAACTAAAAGCGTAGCAAAGTTTTTCACAGTTACGGCTCGGAGAAAACGAAGTCACAGATTTACCTCACCTCACATTTTTTCCACACTCTTCAGAAAATTTCATATAAAAGCCTACAAACTATTAGGGTGACCGAGAAGTAATGAAGCACTTTGATTTTTCTGCGATTTCGATGATTTTTTTAATAAACAATAAACAACCAGAGCAAAGATACGATTGTATGAAGTAATCTCCCATGTTATCCTGGCAGCAATTTGCAGCTCATACCCTACATCCTTCTCGCGGCGCTTCAAAAAATTCAGACAAACATTTTTATTTGAATCCCATTAGCATTTGTACCAAAACCTTGAAGTCTGTGGGCATATAACATACCATTCGAAAGTGCTTTCCAAGCTCTTTCTAACGATCGCTTGAACCTGTAGAAATTCTTCATCACCTTGTATAAAAGAGGCAGATGATCCGTAAAAGTGCAATATTTGGCGCAGACTTTTCAGGCTAGAAAGCGTGTTTGACCCACAACTTTTTGAAAGCAGAGGTTTTCTCGAGGTAAGTTGCATACATACGGATAGGGCGTAAACAGCTCTATCAGAAGCCTTCGTCAAAATGAGCCCATTCAATCACTGCGATGAGAAAATGTATAATATGTCACTCAATACTCAATGCTATATCTTCTCTTGCAAGCCTTGGGACCATCAGGCTATCGTAGATCTGGCCACAGTCCCCTAACCCATTGCAGCATATTTTTTGGAAGCCTCACTTGTTTTACTGCGGCGTTGCTGCTTCAAGTTTGGAATTACTTAGAGTGACGAGCTTAGATTTTGAACACTCATAAACACGAGGCCATGCGACAATGCATATCTATAGACCTCCTTCAGAATTTTGATATGTGACAACATCTCCCAACACTTGGACATCCAATTGGTTTTTCTGTTTGAGAAGACTACATTTATTCTTTAGGTGTTTCATTACTTTCCGACCCTCACATTTTTTGATTTTTCTCAAACCCCCTCTTTCTGCCTAGCTGCAGCCTTAGGAACATTTTGAACGTCGGCGGCAATCTTGCTTTCAGCGCATTGTGCTAGCCGGACACAACATGTGTCTAATTCGAATACATTACTAGTTTTTAGTCTTTTTTCAACGTGGTTGCGTATTCTGTTTTAGTCTTCTTGGTTAATCATAATTGTTTGGTTCACCAGCGTTTCATAGGGGCTGTCGCACTCTTACTGCAAAGTCCACAGGAACTTCTTTCCCAAAAAGCTGGAGACACCTCGTGCCAAGTTCTGGTTTGGAAAAGTCTATATTGAAAAGAGTTAAGCATTCTCAGCATGCACATATTCTGTCCACTGGCTGCTTTACAAACGCAGGCACAATACTGAAGATTTGCTCTCGGGTTATTTTACTGACCAATCATGACACAAACAATATCCTAAATCTATCAGTACTATTGAGGCTGCTCTTATACAATACCGCTCATAATTCTCAAAAAAGTCGCCGGACTGCGCGGAATCCGCCGGAGTGCGGCAGAGTGCGCCACACTTCACTAGAGTCCGTCGGAATGATCGTTACATCGCCATATCTCGCTTCAGAATGAAGAATTCTGAATCCGAGGACACAGTTCGATTTAGCTCGGCGAGACGCATCATCTTACATATGAAGCTGAACGTCTGTTTGTCTGTCTGTCTGTACGTATGTTCCGAATAGAAAATTCCATTTCTGAACCGATCCGGACCAAACTTGGCACACATACACTTCGGGCCCCGGCGGATGTCATAGGCTACTTTTCTCCATCGATCGATATCGATTATCGATTTTTATCGATTTTTTGCAAAATTCACCTACGTTGGGAGTTGGCACATGGGGAGGGTAAGTGAGCATGGGGATTCCGAATACAATATTAGTTTTCAGAATTATCGATTATTATTTTGGTTGAATTCAGTATGCTGATAACAGTACAGGACGTATTACCATTGATCTGTCGCTGATGACACATAGACAGTATACTATAGGAGTACGGTAGAGAGCCACTGTGATCGAATTTGTTCTAAGATCTGCTCAAGATCACAATGCCGCTCACAAAATGTCAGAATTTCCGTGAACTTCGCGAAATTCCGGGATTTCCGCCAGAATGCGCGATAATTCGGGAAGTTCGCAACATTTCAGGATCCGCGAAACCATGCGAATCACGCAGAATACGCAACGCCATAACTTCCTTCGGAATGAATTTGCTCCGAATTCTAGAAGCAGCATTGTGTTCCGATCGTCAAGGCAAATATTTTAATATACAGTATGCTCTCGATATTCCGTTTCCAGTTTTTTCGAATTTTTTCTGTGGAGGTCATTTCGCAAGGATGTAACGCAGCGTCTGTGTAACATGAAAGATTCCAGTAAGCACATTGTTCGATAGTACTGTCCTTGTAGGTTATCGTGCGTTTAAGAGTAGCTGCAGACTGTCTTCCAAAAGAGATAGAAGCGTTGGTGAATTTTGGAAAAAATCACGCGTTTCTAAATTCTACTCGCCGTAACTTCCTTCGGAATGAACATATTCTGAATTCGAAGAAAGCTTTGTGCTCAGTTCATCAAGGCAAGTCTTTCGATATATAGCATACCCCTGATATTCCGATTTCAATATTCTCAAATCTTTCTGTAGACGTCTTTTCGCGAAGGTGTAAAGCAGCGCGTATTGCCCCTTTTTGCAGACATATGGTGAGATAACTGCAACGGATTCACGAAAGCTCGTAACTTCGATCCACCTCTCACGTATCTGTCAGAAAACCTGCCTGCTTGCTTTTCTAGTCAAAGTTACTGGGATGTGCTATCGAATGGCGCATGACTCAGGCTCCAGTCTATATTCGCCGAGTTACGAGCCTACGAAAACACGTTCTCATGAATTTTGCCCAAAATGTAAAGATCGCAAATTTCGTCGAAACTCCTCCGTGAGCGCTTGTATAACACGCTGATCAAATCTTTTCACATCCTTAATGGATGTTATTGTGATAGATTTGGTAGTTTGAGCTCTAGCCACGAAATAGCTTTGATATTTAGTTGAAGTGAAGTAACGCAAGCACCATATTCAATATAGTGGGAATCGTTGGACAAAGCGAACATAATATCTGCAACGAGCGTCATACAAGCGCCCACGGAGGAGTTTCGACAAAATATCTTTACATTTTGGGCAAAATTCATGAGAACGTGTTTTCGTAGGCTCGTAACTCGGCGAATATAGACTGGAGCCTGAGTCATGCGCCATTCGATAGCACATCTCAGTAACTTTGACTAGAAAAGCAAGCAGGCAGGTTTTCTGACAGATACGTGAGAGGTGGATCGAAGTTACGAGCTTTCGTGAATCCGTTGCAGTTATCTCACCATATGTCTGCAAAAAGACCCCTATACTTGACAGAGAACACGATTTTCATAAGCAGCGTGTTCGAAAACCTTTATGAGAGGAGTCTCTTTACAATTCAAGATCATCAAAATTTTGACCAAATTCCACCGGCCAGCTTCAGAGCGTAAAACAAGAAAAAATGAAATCACCCGAACATCTCGGAAAAATTGTTCATAAGGGTTATCCGACCTGGTGATTACAAAACTCACATCTGCTTAGCAAGATAGCCTCGTATTCTAGGGTTGCGACGAGTAGAATTTGGGACAACAAGATTTTTTTTACAATTTACCAACCTTTCTATCTCCACTGGAAAGATGCCTGTGAATACTTTTTAGCGCTACGTAATCTACAGAAAAAGTACTATCGAAAGGTCCTTGCTGGGGTCTACTAGGGGCAATACGCGCTGCTTTACACCTTCGCGAAAAGACGTCTACAGAAAGATTTGAGAATATTGAAATCGGAATATCAGGGGTATGCTATATATCGAAAGACTTGCCTTGATGAACTGAGCACAAAGCTTTCTTCGAATTCAGAATATGTTCATTCCGAAGGAAGTTACGGCGAGTAGAATTTAGAAACGCGTGGTTTTTCCAAAATTCACCAACGCTTCTATCTCTTTTGGAAGACAGTCTGCAGCTACTCTTAAACGCACGATAACCTACAAGGACAGTACTATCGAACAATGTGCTTACTGGAATCTTTCATGTTACACAGACGCTGCGTTACATCCTTGCGAAAGGACCTCCACAGAAAAAATTCGAAAAAACTGGAAACGGAATATCGAGAGCATACTGTATATTAAAATATTTGCCTTGACGATCGGAACACAATGCTGCTTCTAGAATTCGGAGCAAATTCATTCCGAAGGAAGTTATGGCGTTGCGTATTCTGCGTGATTCGCATGGTTTCGCGGATCCTGAAATGTTGCGAACTTCCCGAATTATCGCGCATTCTGGCGGAAATCCCGGAATTTCGCGAAGTTCACGGAAATTCTGACATTTTGTGAGCGGCATTGTGATCTTGAGCAGATCTTAGAACAAATTCGATCACAGTGGCTCTCTACCGTACTCCTATAGTATACTGTCTATGTGTCATCAGCGACAGATCAATGGTAATACGTCCTGTACTGTTATCAGCACACTGAATTCAACCAAAATAATAATCGATAATTCTGAAAACTAATATTGTATTCGGAATCCCCATGCTCACTTACCCTCCCCATGTGCCAACTCCCAACGTAGGTGAATTTTGCAAAAAATCGATAAAAATCGATAATCGATATCGATCGATGGAGAAAAGTAGCCTATGACATCCGCCGGGGCCCGAAGTGTATGTGTGCCAAGTTTGGTCCGGATCGGTTCAGAAATGGAATTTTCTATTCGGAACATACGTACAGACAGACAGACAAACAGACGTTCAGCTTCATATGTAAGATGATGCGTCTCGCCGAGCTAAATCGAACTGTGTCCTCGGATTCAGAATTCTTCATTCTGAAGCGAGATATGGCGATGTAACGATCATTCCGACGGACTCTAGTGAAGTGTGGCGCACTCTGCCGCACTCCGGCGGATTCCGCGCAGTCCGGCGACTTTTTTGACGAATTAAGAGCGGTATTGTAAAATCCCGGGTTGATAGAGGAAATTCGTATACTCCTTGCTTTTAAATTGTAAACGATTCTGTCGCAATAATTGAATCTGCTTCGAAAAAACGTTTGTAAAAGCATGCAGTAAATTGACTGCCAATATTTTGTATTTCAAGATATTTCCACTCTTTTCATTTCTAGAAACGATCCAAACGTGACCATAACTTCCTCGGCAGTGTCACAAAGCAAACAAGAAAGAATTAGTGCTAATAAGTAAGGAAAAAAGAGAAAATGAGCTTTACCTCCTTTGACATTATGCCAGGTGATGCTTTTGGTGATAATAGCTGGCTTCACGGTAAGTTGCCTCTTGCACCTCTTCACGAAACTACTCACCAAGAATTCCTCATCAATATTTGGCTTCTTCGTAGAATTTGCTGTGGCAGGTATATTCTACACTTAACTAAATTAACATTAGTATACGCGTAAGCGCAAAATTTAGGGTATTTTAAAAACTCTAACTTCGATCCAAAAGAGCCATTCTGTTCACGAATACTTGTTTGCGCATGGCTGCTGTTCATTTTCACATTGACGGAGTACTATGGGGTGAGGAAAATCAGCCTCAAGAAGGCTAAATTTTTATACCTCGTATTACTGACGTCTACGAACACTGGGTAGTACTGATACACACAATGCACTTTTCCCAAACTATCCAGGCAAGACTTCGTAGCGTTTTATCGTTAACGCAGTACCGTGGAGCCCTCTTCACAAACTTGGATGAAGCCATGGACGCGATGGAATACCATGTAATTAGAAACCAACAAGACAGCGTTGTTTTTTCCACTTTTAATTATTCAGGGATGGAAAATGGTATTTGAAGACAAAGATTATTCCCCTCTTCTCTACTGTTACGGTGCTCAATGTGCGAGGATGCGAGAGCTTCAGAAAAGGTAGGCTACATTAGTTATAGTCAATTCAAAAATAGTTATAAGGGAAGCTTCATCCTACACAAAAATGATTACATGCTTTGCAAATATTTGATGGGCAGTTAATGTACGAGTGAAGCTACAAGAATGCAAAATCTTTGAAGTATTGCACCATGCAGAAGCATGGAAGACTCGCAGCGAAATTTTTTCCACGGTTTTCCCAAATTTTTTGATTTTGTCCCTGAAATTCTGCCTATTCTTTGCTTTTTCGTACTTGATGTATCTTGAAAAATGACGTTTTTTACTGAAAAAATAACATCGGTGCTCGCACGCGATTTATCTAAAAGCTAGACGCAAAGCTTCTCTGCCCGCAAGGACTTATTAGGTTACTGCACAGTTCTTGGCAATATGCTCGTTGTTATGTATAGATAAGGGCCCGTAGTAAACCCCCGAAATATGTCGTGATGTAAAGAAACCGAGAACACGACGTGCCTGACTGAAGGACGTGCTGCTCACGACCATGTTTTGATCGCCGCAAAACACACGACCGCACGCGCGATCGAACTACTCGACGGTCGTTGACGGCGCGCACTGCCACTACGCTATTTATTCTCCTCGAACCAGAAAAAATTAAAGCTAAAACCAGCGAAGCAAAGATGCGGCAGGCAGAACACTTGCTTACTGCTTGAGAGCAAATCGATAAGCAAGCCTTATGTGTGTTGATGTATGTACCTTTATGTAGGTTGTAAAAGTATACACAGCCTTCCCCGAGCCACTATCAAAGCACGGTACTGGCGGCAGCGCTACATGCGCATAGCGCAGCGCCACCAAACAGTGGCACTGCGCTAAGGGCGGCGGGTACGAGTGCCATGTGGGCCATTGTTTGCAACTTGCTGGCTAGTTAGTTTTTATGTAATTAAACAAAATTTGTAAGCGTTTTGGTAGTGGGGAGTCATTGCAAAGCATAAATTACTGACAATACACGAGAAATTTAGATTATTGTAAAACTATTACTACTTTGGTTGGTGCAAATATGAGCAATTTCATTAGCCATAACGCCAAACGGTTCCCTTCCCCAAATCACGAGGGAAACGCTGGACGCACAGCCAGTGAACAGCATTTCAGCGTATAAACATTATAAAAGGCGCTCAAATAAAAAAAGTAAGAGATTAAGACATGCAGAAGGAAAAATTTGGTGCACAAATGAGTTGCGATGTGAGAATCACAAGAAAATAGTTCAAACACGATTAGACACCAGAAAGTAGAAAGAAGAAGGAGTAAATCATAATCAAAAACACTCACCTTTTTTCAATTACAAAAAATATAGCAGTAGAAATGCTTAGAAAACGGAATAAGACGTTCGGCGCGTTACATTTGGGAGCTTATCAGCTGTTGATATCGATCGCATTCGGCGTGCGTTGAACCTATTGCTGTGTGCCTACGGTCCTTGCACAAGGTCGCGAGCTCGGCGTACTCGACCCCTAGTCACTTGCGCCTTCCTGCGTCTCCACGCTGAGCCCACTATTTCTATTTCTCTGCCCCGTGACGACGTTCACGACGTGCTCTTCCTCTGCGCGCGAGGACGAGCACGTGCTGCAGTCATGACGTCGTGCAATTTCGCCGCGCGGCTGTGATAAGAGACAGGCGCGTGACGAAACGCGGCCGAAACGACACATGCTGGGTACGTGCGATGTTTCGAACGTCGCGACTCTCATGACGGGGGGATTACTACGGACCAAGATGCCGTTTTATAGCACATCCTAAAAAATCAATTTGATACGAAGTCAGTAAGTTGAAAAAACGAATTCGAAACCACTCATAGCGTCATCCGATCGTTACCAACTTTAGTTAGTCCGAAAGAGTAGGTTATAAAGCCCAACACTAAAACAAATTTAAGTCTCAGTAGACGTTTTAGCAATTTTAGTCCAAAATTCGATGAAAAATAATCAAAAAAGTTTTGGGCATTTCTCTTTATCAACTTATACCGTTGCCAGATGCCATCAACAAATTTTGATTCGAGCGCATTCGGAAAGACAAAGAGTTTCTGTCTCTATCATTTATCAAATCAGAAGATGTCATTCGAATTAAAGGAAGTAACGGAATTTCGAAATTCTGGTGCAAGCATCAACCTTATGAAGTACGGCTCACAGAACGTGCAAAAGTTTCCTTGAATGTTGCGGTCCACGAACTTCGCGAAAGTCCGCGACATTCCGGGTAACCGCGGAGTTCCAGAAATTACACAGAATCACGCGAATCACGCAAACTACGCGGCGCTATAAGTTCCCTCGGATTGAATGTGTTCTATATGCGAAAAAAAACATTGTGCTCAACTCAACAAGGCAAATCTTCTGATATACAGTCGAGTAGATTTTCTGCTTAATATAGTGTGCTTACACAGTTTATGAAATGCGGTAAAATTTGCGCGTGAACAGGTAGCTGCGTCAGCACTGCCGGCATTTTGCGCGTGCAATTGGCCGGCGTCACAGTCGAAGCTATTTCCTCACGCGCAAATTTTTGCCGCATTTCACCTTCTGTGCAAGCACACTATATTAAACAAAAAATCTACTCGACTGTTCAACTTGTCCTTGATATTCCATTTCCAGCTTTTCCAAATTCTTCTGCCGACATCTCTTTGCAAGTATGTAACGCAATGCATAACACACCATAGAAACTTTAGTAAGCATTGTTTGATAGTGCTGTTTCTGTAGATAATCGTGCGCTAGGAAGCAGAAAGAGACTTCCATTCGGAGACAAAAGAGCGTGATACTCACTATAACCCTAAGACATGAAGCTCTCCTGTTAAATAGATATAATCTTTGTAAACAGTAGGTCAAATAACCTTTATAAGTAATTTTTTCCGAGAAATTCTGCTCATTCGATTTTTTTTCTTTTTTACGCACTGAAGCTCGCTAATGATTTCTGCCCGAAATATAGATAATCTTGAATAGGTAATTTCGCTCTAGGAATTCTCGGGCATGATGTTTACTAAACTCTATCTTTGCGAGTAAAAGGTCTTCCGGCAGAGATATGGCGGGGAAGCTGTAGTTAAGCCACAAAAGTTCGTAAATCCACCCTGCATTTTTCGCGTACCTGTTATCGCGTATCTAAAAAAATGCTTGCTCACCTGTACAAGTTAAAGTCACTGGAACGATGAACGATGCATGTTCCAGGTTCAAATCTTTACGAGCGAATCACGTCCCCAAATATTGTCCGAAACGCAAGGATTGCGTAATTCTTCGGAAAAATCCCTATGAGCGGTCCCTATAATCCCTATGTTTTTCACGCTGTTTGCGTATCTTATGTTCACTTCGCTCTAGAAATCATACATAGATGATAGATCATGTATTGGATATGGTAGTTAGAGAGATCTAAGCTCTAGCCGATAAGCTGATTTGATATTTGACTAGGTGGCTGAAGCCCACACAACTACCATGTCCAACACAAAAGGGCCTCTTGAGCGAAGTGAACATAGGATTTGCCAGCAGCGTTATATACAACCACTACGAGGGAATTTCGACAAAGTATGCGATTTTTGCTTTTCAAGCAATACTCATGAGGAAGTGATTTGTAAGTTCGTAACCAGGGGACTTTCAAAGATCTGAGCCTGAGACAGGCACCGTTCAATGGTACAATTCTTAACTTTAGATCACAATCTGTGAAGAAAGCAGCATGTGTTCTAAAAGACAGCGAAAAGTACAAGCGAGTTTACGGACTTTCGCGGCTTAGCTGCAGCTCCCTCCCATCTCTTCTAGATGGCGCTATAATCCGCAAAAACCACGAGTTTCGTAAAAACGTTTCGAAAACCTCTGTGAGCAAAGTTTCCATTCAAATCAAGACCATCACTATTTTAGCCAAAAACATAATCGGCAAGCTCTGGAGCGTAAAACGAGAAAAGAAGCAAGTAACTTGAACCTCTTGGAAGCGTTCATAAAGGCATCCGAGTTGTTAATTGCGAAAATCACATCTGCTTAGCTAGATAGCGTCGTTAGGGTTACGGTGAGTGGATCTCGAAAGGACATGATTTTTCCAGAATTCACCTGCTTTTCTTTTTCTTTGGAAAAAAGTCCCCGGCTGCTTTCTAGCGCTCGATTATTAACGGAAACAGCACCATCAAGCAGTGCTTACTGAGATCTTTTATGTGTGTGGTGCGCTGCGTTCCATTCTTGCGAAAAGACGTCTGCGAAAAAATAAGAAAACTGGAAAGTGGTATCGAGGACATGTTGCATCCAGGGCCCGGCAGGAGGTGGCATTTCAGAATTTTGAAAACGATATCCCCTTTGAAGCCAATTTTCTTACGAGTTCCCCTTTGACCCTATTTTTGACCCCCCCCCCCCTAATTCCGCGACAGGCAATATACGCAAATAAATAGGAGCGCATAAATAAATAGCGCATCAAGAGGATGAAGTATGGCGGGTGCCTAAGAAGCAAGATTTAGAGAAGAGATGAAAAATTCCGTCCGGAAAATTACCCTCATCAAGACGGGGGTGAAATGAGCGAGATATGACATATCATTAGCCACTTAAAACAACTGCACTTGTAAGGTGATGATTTTTGCACTGCAACAACTATGCAGATGCACGAAAAAGTATAGAGAAGACAAACATATAAAGCAAAACCTTGTTCTTCGATTTTCTACGAACAAACATTGAACACTGAAAAATGCACCAGGATGATGACAGAAACATACAACATATAAAACACAAAAACAGTGGAGTGGGGAACCAATGAGCGAGAAAGAGCGTTAACACGTTTCGGACCGGTGCTGTACATGGTGCAGCACGCGACTTTGAAGGATCTTTTCGACGTTCACAAGAGCTTTTCTTTTAGTCCAAAGTTAGCAAATCAAAAGTCTAAGCTCCTACTTTTCAAATGACTCTATAGAGCTGTGCCGTCGATATTTGTTTAGGAGATAGCAACTTTTCCTTGCTTCGATTTCAAGCAGAAAAACCATCGTCTCAATATTGATGTGTACCGTGTGGAACATAGAAACTTTTGAATACTATTAGAGACGAAGTTCTTGTTCCTATCTTTCAAGAAAGCACGAAAGTCTCTCTCAAACGACACAATTCAAACAATTTGAATTCACCCAGAACTTTGGGTATGAAGCTTGTCTGACATGCTGATTACAGATGTAGCACACAGTCTAAAAATAAGGCCCCTTTATTGGCTAACGGCTTAAAATACACTCTTTTTCGCCGCGCGCAATTTCGCGGTCCGAAACGTGTTAATTTAGGGCTGAGCTTGTCGCGAACTTCCCTCGTATTGTGCGGCCCTTGCTCAAACAAAGCCCAAAGTAGAACAACACTTCACAAAATTGTTTCGGATGAATAGCATCTCGTTGGAGAAGAGAAACGCGTCTCACTCGAAAAATAAAACCGAGAAACCTTAATGGTGAGCAAAGGCCGCAATCTCACCGCCCACTCTTTAGTAACAACCCAGTAGAGGCAAAAAAAGAAAGAAAACATAAAAAACAAGAAATTCAAAAATGCAAAAAACGAACCATACTGGCATAAATCAAGTTCACCCACCTGAGGTAGTCTGAGTGAGCCCGAAACTGGTGAATTAGGAGCGATGTGGTGTAGTCGTAGATTTTGACGTGCATGTCATCTGACCCGGTCACAATCCAAGTTTTACTTGGAAAAAACTTGACGGCACGCACTGGCGAATCGCAAACCTAAAAATTGCGCGAGTTTATGACCTCATTCAGACACTGGGCTCAAATAAAGTGAGCACCATAAGGCCCCAGCCAGACTTCGATCAAATCTCCCAAAACCGCTCAAAACCGACAAACCCCGCTTTCCAACACATCTCAAAAATACCAGTCAACGCTCAACTAACTATTTGCCAAATAGGAACTTCTTCATGAGTGAGCAATTTTGAGCGAAGTCTGGCCGGGGTCTAACATAAAAAAACACTTAAAAATGAAAATGGAGAAAGGAACCTACTTTCAAAGACTTCACAAGTTCTTGGCTTTCAAAATTCCATATCTGAACGTCTCCAGTATAGAGAGCAGCAGATGACCACGGTTCAGTGGAATGGAGGTCCACCGATTTGAATCTATTCGATCTTGTCAAAAACTTTCTACACACTTCCGATGACATCGACGTAGCTGCAACAACGAGCATAGAGGAACAAGAAGAAAACAAGGAAGAAAACGAACACGCGACGGAACAGAACACAAAAATCCGGAAAACCGACGGAACTGCGGAAACAGGAGAAATTCTCTTGTGGAACAACTTTTTGCAGAAAACATCATAGCCAAATGTGACCGCTCCTTCATTGCGAGCCCATGCAAGCATGAATCGAAGAAACAATGGTTTGAAATTAGGGAAAACTGCTTCATTTAGCGATCATTAGCCTAGCAAGAAGTCAAATTCTCGAAGTTTCCGCGTCGTCCGTGCAAGGTGCACCGACTTCGATTGGAGCGCGCTTTCCGAGGCCGATCATAACGCTGTGAACCCTATTTGGGCCTGTATCTAAGCGGTGCCTTGGTGGTTTTGGAAGCGGATTTAAACATGTAGTAATACTCTTGACCTAGGCCACATTTATGTAAAGAAATCCGGGAAATTATGTGAAGGGAAGCAGGGAGCCACCCCAGGCGACTCCCAGGTGGCGCGGGAGCCACCTAATTTCGAAAAACACTTACCATTTTTTTAATTCACATAAGTTTTTTATAATTTTTCATACTTTTTTTGTGCTCATGGTCCTCCAACTATTCAGCAAATTTGGTGTCATATCGTTACTTGTGCATTGAAAACGAGCCTATTTTGTTATTTTCCTCTTACAAGAATTGCGATTTGAATTCCCGACTGCCGGCAGGCTAGCGATCGGAGCACAGAATCTTCACATTGCTGGAATCTAAGTTCATAGGACAGTAGCATCAACAAGGAATGATGAATAAAGAATGATATGTGCATTGTTTGTCGGTAATTTCGGGCCAAAAACGATATCCAGCTTGTGAAAGCGCCACCCCCGCCGGGCCCTGGTTGTATCTCGGAAGACTCGCCATGAGCTGGGCACAATACTTTTTTCGCATTCTGTATTATTAATTCCGGAGGAGATTACGGCATTGCGTGCTTGATTCGCGTAATTAAGCGAGATTCCCGGAATGTCGCGGAACCCCGGAATTCCAGAGAATAAACAATCAATGAAGAGACAACGTTACTTTTTGTGAATTCGGAGCTCATAGAGATAGCTTCTGCCCCGGGTTTCGCAGTGCGCGACTGGAAGATTAACAATTAACTGATTGCTTGCTTTCTGCACTTGTGTTTTAGATCGCTCTTACTGTATGTCAAAAACGTGTCGCTAGAAGAAGTATCTGAAACTGACCATCACTTTGGATTTGGAGGGAAATCTTCTGATCGAGTTCCGCATAAGGAGACTGTGCTTGATGATTCCAAGCGTATTCTTTTTGTGAGAGATCGACTCATAACACCTATGCACCAGTCGTACGCTGTCAGCAAGTAAGCACATGAATTTTTTAACGAAAGAGCCATGTAATTACCATTTTACAATCTGGCAAGCAAATCTCCCTTTTGAAGCAAGTTACAGTCAAGGTGCATAAGTGCAGTTGAAGATTTTTGAATCACACACACATATGCTTTCTGGTGAGTGACGTAAGGTTTTGATAGTTGAGATGCAGACAACTGCTAATCTATCCAGAGCTGTTGTCTGACTATCATCTGAATGCGCTATACAGTTTGAAGTGAATACTTGCTTCTCTGCTTATCGTTCCCAATTGCTTATAACTATTAGGTTGGCACGAAAGTTCGTTCGCACCATTTTCAAAAATTCATAACTCCCACTTTTTCCAACCGATTTGACTGCTTTTATTTTTGTATGAAAGAATAAGTCATGCTCTTTATGATGACTTCTTAGCTGCTTACTATTGATCATCTATTGCATAGATAGGAGCGATAGAAGAAAATTAGTCAACATTCGAATTTTCTGTGTACGTTCATAAAAAATCGGAAACTTGCAACAAAAATCGGAGCATTCGGTATTGTAGGTTCCTCCACCAGCTCTTTCTAACAGTGCAAAGTTTGCGCTGATGGAGCGTCTCTGTGAAAAGTTATGATTTTCCTGAAGAATGCCAAAATAAATCAAATTCGCCGTTTTGTATTGCTTGCTCGAATATCGTAACTTTTCATAGAGATGTTTAGTCAGCGCAAGCTTTGCACAGTCAGAAAAAGCTGGTGAAAGAACCTACAGTACCGACTGTTCCGATTTTTGTTGCAAGTTTCCGTTTTTTCATGAACCTACAGAGAAAGATCGAATTGACTAATTTTCTTCTACCGCCCATACAAGATTATCATCAGCAAGCAGCCAAGATGTCATCATAAAGAGCATGACCTACTCTTTCGTACAAAAATGAAAGCAGTCAAATCGGTTTTAAAAAAGCAGGAGTAATGAATTTTTGAGAATGGTGCAAGCGAACTTTCGCGCCAACCTAATAAAATCATTTCAAAGTAAAGAGAACCCTGGAATGTTAGTAGTTTTGAGATAGCTCAGCTCGCCTGTGCAAAGCGAAGCAGAGGACTGACAAAGCAACATTCCTAACAAGTCGTAGTTTAGCAGATTTTGTTATCGATCTCCCGTTCAAACGCGATCAAGATGGTAGAGCTACAATGATGGCTGACCTTTTGGCGTCCTAGAAAATTGGAGATCGCTTAACGTATCAACTCAAACGCCTCATCCTACCACAGAGGTCTATACAAGAGATCAAATGATATTAAAGCGAGTAGAAACGGATAAAGGTGCACTCACCATGCAGCGATTTTTGTAGTCAAACCATACGTTTGAGAGACAACTATTAGCCACTATATTTTATTTAGCACTAGCTGGCTTACCCGGCTCCGCCGTATCCGGACCAAACTTGGCACACATACACTTCGGGCCCCGGCGGGTGTCACAGTCCACTTTTCGTTATCGATCGATGTCGATTTTACCGATTTTTATCGATTTTTTTGCAGAGTTCACCTACAGGGCTAGGAGTTGGCACAGGGGGGGGGGGGAAGTGAGCATGGGGATTCCGAATACAATATTTGTTTTCAGAATTATCGATTGCTTTTATCGATTTTATCGATTTTTTGTAAAGTTTGACCTGCTGGGCTGGGAGTTTGCACAGGAGGGTAATCGAGCATGCTGATTACGAATACAATATTAGTTTTCAAGATCGTCCATTACTTTTATCGATTTTATCGATTTTTTGAAAATTTGAGCTAGGAGGCTGGAATTTGGCACAGGGGTGTAATCGAGCATGCTGATCACCCCCCTTGGGGATGATCAGCATGCTCGATTACCCCCCTGTGCGAACTCCCAGCCCCCTAGCTCAAACTTTGCAAAAAAATCGATAAAATCGATAAAAGTAATCGATAATCCCGAAAACCAATATTGTACTCGGAATCCCCATGCTCGATTACCCCTTTGTGCCAACTCCCAGCCCCGTAGCTCAAACTTTGCAAAAAAATCGATAAAATCGATAAAAGTAATCGATAATCCTGAGAACCAATATTGTACTCGGAATCCCTATGCTCGATTACCCCTTTGTGCCAACTCCCAGCCCCGTAGCTCAAACTTTGCAAAAAAATCGATAAAATCGATAAAAGTAATCGATAATCCTGAGAACCAATATTGTATTCGGAATCCCCATGCTCGATTACCCCCCTGTGCCAACTCCCAGCCCCGTAGGTGAACTCAGCAAAAAAATCGATAAAAATCGATAAAATCGATATCGATCGATGACGAAAAGTAGCCTATGACACCCGCCGGGGCCCGAAGTGTATGTGTGCCAAGTTTGGTCCGGATCGGTTCAGAAATGGAATTTTCTATTCGGAACATACGTACAGACATACATACAGACAGACAGACATACATACAAACAGACATTCAGCTTTATATATAAGATAAATATACTTGAGGATCCCGCCAACGCAAACCTCATTACTCCTGTAGCTTAACTTGCGTAAGGTTTGGTAGGATGCCGGCTCATTTGTTACTGTTATACACTCGTTCCTATTAGGTTTTGTTTTTAGCCATTAATCAAAACGATTCGAAAGTTTTGCGTGCCACTATTTCCATTTCGTACGGCAATGATAGTGACTTTTCACTCAAATGCAGCATCCTATGATCGCTTTTTTAGCGTTGCTGCCAATGACGCCAAGAATTTCGACTTATAGAGGCCGCTCAAATGTTCTTTTATCCAAACCAGCAAAGTTCGTTCTGTTTTCCCAGCATACTCTCCCCCACATGAAAGGCATTCTATGAAAAACTACCCGTACATCACAATTTCCATCTCCGCCAAAGGGCAAATTACGCAGCTGGGGTTCTCACAAGGACAGTAGTGGACAGTTATGGCTCCGCACTGGCCGCCGCTCTAAATTACTCGGTGAGATTCTTTAACTCTTATAGAATCCTCCAGACCTGCAGGCGTAAGCGTGATTCAATTGCCTTGCTCATCTCTTCCGTTGCATATGGTAGACAAAAGGAAATCTTGTTTTCGAGCTATCTCTCGCCTCTGAACCAGTGGCGTACCCAGGATTTCGGCTCGAGGGGGGGGAGTAGGAGGCGGGACAAAAAAAATTTTTCCGATGAAGGTGCGTGATCAGCCACGGCACTCCGAAAAGTTTCTGGTATGCTCCCTAAAATTTTCGCGAGCGGAGCCCAAATTTCAGAAAAGGGGCGTGGCGTCGTCCCCCCCCCCAAAAAATTTTTTTATAAGGCTAAAATGATTTTTTTAATTTTTTAATAATTAGTCTAATTACTTACAAGTGCAAACAAGTCATTTGCACAATTTTATAACCCATGTAAGTAACTTCCAAAAATTCAAAAATTTCGCGACCCGTTCTCCCCCCCCCCCCCCCGCCCCCGGTACGCCACTGCTCTGAACTACTCGAGCTCGAGAACGACAGCATGTCTTGAAAGAATATTCGTTGCATTCTGCCACTCGACGATGCCAGGCGCTCCTCAATAGCGGGTGAGGTCTTTCCTGGCTTTCATGCTGTTCTCCTAGATGACCAAGGGTGTGCTGAAGGGCAGTGGACCAAAGTGTTCTTATTACTCGGCTTTATCTACTGTCTGTTGTTTTCCATTCTCCTTTCACTATATCTTTGATTTTCGGCTTCTGACGAGGGCGAAGACGCCGAAACATCAGCCATAAATAAAGATCTTCCATCTTGCCATCTTCGACCTTCTATAAATCTTGGCATGGTAATTTGTTATCGACTTTCTGTTCAAGCGCGACCAAGATGGCAGGTCTTTATCCATGCTTTTGACGAGACGAAGAGCCGAAATATCAGCCATGAATAAAGATCTGCCATCTTGGTCGCGCTTGAACAGAAAGTCGATAACAAGTTACCATACCAAGATTTATAGAAGGTCGAACTTTTTTAAAGCATTTAAAGAATTGTTCAAATTTTATAAAAAAAGAAATTGTTGTAATATCTATGTAAAGGGCCTCGCCGTTAACGATAATACTTCATTGCCATGTTTTGGTGAGAGCACTGCTTTTGCGACTGTCGTAACCGAAAAGCACCTTTCCTTTCTACTGAGCAATACATTTAGAAGGATGCCAGTATTCTTGAAAAAACTAAACCGAGCCATGGCACATGCTTCTAGCGGGTAAGTTGCTAATTTGCTGAAATCAACTGATCTCTACTGGATTTGATTAGAGATTCCCAACGATACGTAGCCGCTACGAGAGGTCTTCTCAACAGTATGTCGATAAATATGAAAAAAATGCAAATGTAATGTCCTTGATTCATCTCAAAGTGCTCTTTGCGTGGATATGGAAACTGCTTGTATTCTCGATTGCTTACCTACTCGGAGGTAACATCCAGCAGTTTGCGAACAAACAACAAACACGCTTTTCGCTTATATGGGCTGCTGCACGGATTGTGTGCTAATGCAAATTTCGGAGTTTTTGAGTGTTTATAGTAATTTTGATTGACACAGATATACAGCATATAGATAAAATCTATCCAGTGCATCACTTCTAAAATGGCACACAGATTTTTATATTCAACTCGATTCACTGTAACTCAGATCACAACAGAGACAATTGATAATCAAACACCTTCAAAACTATTTCTTCATTTTGCTCTCAGTTTCTTGCCATTTGTAACTAATTTTCCGGACCCGTAAATGAGCAATTTTACATGAAAAATACAATAGACTTTCCTTGCAATCAACTGCAAAGAACACGATAGCAGAATAATTTTTGGTCACTTTTTCGTTATTCGGCTTTTACTCCGCTTTTCCTATCCAATTTTTCATTGAGATAATCTATATGTGATTTATACCAAGTGAAATTCTTATATTTTGCGGGAGAATTCTCTCGGTTTGTTGAATTTTATACATTTTGGCTTCCGGGGGGTGAGTTTTCAATTCTATACTCGATGACGCATGGTGATGCTTTTCTCAAAAAATCTTTGACACTATCTGACACAAAAATCAGCATTTTTTCTCCT